AAGCCCAATTGGGCTTCTGAGAACATGCTTTAAAATAAGCTTTCCCTGAAAATATTGCCACACAGAAGCAGCCATGAGGTGACCACGCTCACCGCCTCCTTCACCTCAAAAATAATAAGACCTCTCCAAAAATAAGGCCAAGCTCTTATCTCAGGGATCAAAAGAAAATATGACCCTGTCTTATTTTCGGGGAAACACGGTAGCAGTCCTGCAATTGGCAATTCACGGTGCAGATACAGAGAGACTTAGCATTGGTGGAAGCTGTGGGACTTATTTTTAAATTGATTTATTATTTCTCTCCTTTATTATTTTTACAAATAACTCAAGGTGGCCAAAACACCCAAAATTCCTTCCCCCTCTTATTCCCCCTCCCCCAACAACCACCTGTGAAATGGGTTGGGCTGAGAGAGAATGAATGGCCCAAAATCACCCAACCAGCTTTCCAGGATATGAAATTATAGAGCTGTTACTCAACCACCATTATCATTCTTTAAATCAAAGAATCCACTAGCCAAGATTTTTTTTCCAGGTAATCCAGATTTTTTAAAAAATGAACAAAATTCTTTTTTCATTTAGAATCCCCATCTCTTCAATATAAAGTCTTGGCGAAACTTGGCTTTTTCTTCCTGTCAGATAAAGCTATGAGGTGATTTAAAGACTAAGTCACAGCATTTCCTTACTTATACGCATGTTAAAAGCCCGGCGTTAAAGCAGTTTCAAATATAGCACACTTGACCTAGAACTAAGTTAACTCAACTCTCTAACTTTGTCCATATTGTAAGACCAAAGAGAGCAACGATTGCTTTCCAACTGTCAAAGAATTATTGAAAGTGGAACTATATTTCACATTTCAAAGAAACCATTGCATATCAGGCTATTCTTGGCAGTCAGTACTATCTGAAGCAGAAATCCGAATTATGCATCCGTGGTGCATCACAGGTGTTTGACCCTCTTAACCAGTGGTTCCCAAACTTGGCAACTTTAAGACTTGTGGACTTCAACTCCCAGAATTCTCCAGCCAGCTCTGCTCTTAACCTCTTGTAGTCTATGTTCAGATAACATGTTAAATTAGGTTAAGTTAAAGAACCACCAACTGCATATGCACAGTACACTAGCCTTGGTTAATCTTGATTAGATTTATTTATTCATTTCTGCCCTTGTTTAAACTGCAAACTGCAAATCTAGCCAGTTTGATTGTTTTACGATTTAATATGTTTTTGCAAAGCTGACAAAATGGATTAACTCAGGGTCAGATTTATTCAATCAGCAATGTATTGCCCCAAGCAATTTATTGTATTTATATTTGTATTTATCGGTCTTGTATGCCGCCCACTCCCGAAGGACTCCGGGCGGCTTACAATAAACTAAGGAAGGGGATAAATAGACAAATATAAATACAATAAATTGCTTGGGGCAATACATTGCTGATTGAATAAATCTGACCCTGAGTTAATCCATTTTGTCAGCTTTGCAAAAACATATTAAATCGTAAAACAATCAAACTGGCTAGATTTGCAGTTTGCAGTTTAAACAAGGGCAGAAATGAATAAATAAATCTAATCA